GAGAGAGAGAGAGAGAGAGAGAGAGAGAGAGAGAGAGAGAGAGAGAGAGAGAGAGAGAGAGAGATACAGACAGACAGAGAGAGAGGTTACTTCCATCGATAGGATGAGCAAAATCGAACGAATCTACCCCTAGAACATGGAAATATACACTGTCAGTAGTAGTGTATATTGCGATGTTCTAGCGGAGGATTCATTCGGTATTGCTCATCCTATCGATGGAAGTAGCACGAGGCCAGTCGTGGTGTTGGAGACTTACCTGTTGTCCAGTGCGTTGCTTATCCTATCGATGGAAAACTCTCTCTCTCTCTCTCTCTCTCTCTCTCTCGCGCGCGCGCGCACGTGGTGCATTGGTCATCCTATCGATGAAAAACTCTCTCTCTCTCTCTCTCTCTCTCTCTCTCTCTCCCACGGCTTCGTGTGACGGAGGGACCGCTGAAACTTCGAAGGGTATAGAGATTTATTGTTTGAATAAAGAGGAGTCGCAGGGAGGAGAAAAGGAGGGTGGTTTGGTTGGCGAGAGGACGGGTATTATCATTGGTCTTTGACTCTTTGCTGATGCACACACTTCTTTTTCTTCTTCTTTCTTTCTTCCTCTTCTTATTTCTCTCCCTCTCCTCCCAAGTTCATTCATTTCTTTTTGCAATTGGTCGGCATTGTGCTTTCTCGTGAATTCATGCTTCAAAATTGGCCAGGATCGTAACATATCTGCGTGTGCAAGGTCCTGGACAAGGTTCATTTCTGACAGCTCAGAAAAGACGGATGAGTAATAACTCAGGAGCATAAATAATGCGAACTGGCAGCACACACTGACCTTGCTGACCCAACAGCCAAGAAGCCAAGCAACACGTCTGCGGAGAATCCGTGCATTCGGGTGCCCGTTGGCTACCTCCAAGGACAGCACATTTGTGAACCTGTCATCAATAAAAGCACACAATGAAAATCCATCGAGGCAGCATAATGCTCCTCCAAGAATAAAGGTTGAATAATTGCCTGCGGTTATTGTCAACGACCCCAAAAGTGCACCACATCCAGATTTGCCTTCACAGTGGATGGCTTCCACACAGGACATTCCCCTCACGCTTCTGTGAATGACATCTAATAACCACGTCAACCAACTGTAACGTTGTTGCCCGCTCACTGCAAAAGCCAACTTGGCAAGAACAGCATTAGTGGACAATGGACAGAGCGAACTAAAAAGAGGTACACAGAGAATGGCAGTGACCAACACACACATGCATAAGCACAGATGCTGATGGGTGATGCAAGCCCCCCGCCCCCTCCTCTCCCCCCCCTCTCTCTCTCTCTCTCTGTCTCTCTCTCTCTCTCTCTCTCTCTCTCTCTCTCACACACACACACACACACACACCTGTACCTTAA